AAATTGGTTAGTATCAGAGAAACAGAGCATTTATGAAAATGATTATACAAAACAGACACTATTTTACAACTTTCCTCTTAACATCAGAGTCCAAGTGCAATTTCAAGGCCACCAATCCTGCTCTGGATTGTGACTTCCTGTGCTTGGAACAAATTGCAGATTCTCTTGATATTCCTCCAGAGTTTGTGACCTGGTCACAGAGCCATCCTTACCCTAGGGTAGGATCATTGCAGGCAACTTTTCAGCTAGCATGCCAGCAGCCTTCTCTGGTCTGGGAAGATTAGTGAAAGTGTCATTGATGATTGATGCAGTCTTGGTAAACTCCAGGGCCATGCCCCACCCCCCACGGAATTCAGTTGCATCATCATATCATCAGGCAGTGCAGGTCAGATTAGCCTTATGTACATGAGGAATACATGAGAATGACTGTAAAGCATTCAAGGTAGTGTGCATGCTTCAACATCTGCTAATTCCCGATAATCGAACATCACATATTCAAAATGTTTCTTTTTAAATGGTGTGCTGCCTTGACATCTTGTAATTATGATAATATAATAATATTAATGTTATTATTAATATTGATTACAATTACGCAAAGCAAAATATTATCAATGAAAATCTTATAATTACCCAGCGAGTTCTGTTCTGCATTTTGGTTTAAAAGACATATCAATACAAATAAAAAAAAAGTACCTCTGGTTAGTTATTAACACGTTTTCTTTAGGAGACCCAAACCAAACCAAACAACAACACTCACATTTTGTCACCTTGGACTCTATCAAAAAATAATTTGTTTTTTGTTTTCACAAAAAAAAAAAAAAAAAAATCAATCAATTCGCATCTGTCCTACCAAAAAAAAAAACCAATAGGATAAATAATTAATGTGTACACATTGATCAAATCACAAACTTCTTTATTTTATTTCATAAAAATGCTAAATAAAAGTAAAGATAGAAATAGAAGTAAACAAGAAAATAATAAAAATACATACAAGTGTTTTAAGTGTGGTGGTGGTGATTATCACCCACCACTTGTTGTCACTCTATTTATTATTTAAAAAGTGGTGGTTATTACTTGTTGTCATTCTAGATTAAATTAAAATTTTGATTTATCTACTTTTAGAGAAACATCTGACAAATATGACAAATGCAATAAAGTAAGAAGTAAACTGCATTCTCTTCAAATGGCAAGACTGACTGTTTTGATATTAATCCAATTTCTGATTCTGATTACAGGAAAATCGATCACAATTATCACAGTTCTCTAATGATAAGAAAAAACTTGGTAATGTCATAGTTACTAATGGGGTAAGTATCAAATCAGCTCATATCAATATCCATGCCTATTTTAATGATTAAAAATTAATTGATATACTTATGAGCAATGAACATCACACTTATTAATTCCAAGATAAATATTGAAGAGATTTGGAATAATGCAATTAATCGTCTAAAAGTTAATAATATTGAAGTGCAGTCTATTAAAGCAAGGATAATTGATCTTACTGAATCTGTAGATTGGAAATTTATACTCAAGATGTCTGATCATTATGATTTAATTAAAAAAACCATACCAAAATTTTTAAAAGGAAATATTTCTAGTGAAGTCCTGAATATAATAAAAGATCCTCCTAATCAATTGGTGAGTCATTTATATATATAGTCTTTGCAATCTTTTTATCTGACTACTGACATTTTTTTTTATTGTCTAATCTAGCAATTAATTGAAGATTTGGTAACATGGAAAGTGAGTTTTGATCAAATCAAAAATGATACAGATGCTATTTTGGCCAGTAAAATTACTAATTTTTTGTAAGTTTAATATCAAACATGACTGGAATTTTCATGTGTAACAAAGTTATTGATTTATTATTTATTGCAGTATTAAAACTTTTAAGAAGAATATTAATATCATAATGATTTCTGACAGAGAAAGGGATATGATTGTTAATGTTTTTGCTCCAATATTTAAAAAAAATATTTGAAAGCTATGACCTTGGAAAATTTCGTTTGTTCTGGTATGTTGTTCTATTTATAATTCTGGTCTATCTATATTCCAAGGAATTGAGAATTTACATTTTGAATTATTAGGCTTACAGCAAGAAAAAGAAGATATATAAACCCAGAATATACCAGGGTTGGCAAATGTGTGGTCCATTGGTGGTCCATTGATGGTCCATTGGGTCCATTAGTGTAACATTTTAACTATATTTAGTATTTTATTAATGGCAATGGACCAGCTCAAAGTCCATCAGTTCTCAATGGACCAGTCAATTTGCCAACCCTGGAATATACTAAATTAACCAATGATGATAGAAAGCTTGATTTAATTATTGAAATAAGATGTTATGATATTGAAATTCTATTATTAGAAATTGGTATAGATAAAAATTTAACAGATACAAATAGTGACTATAATCAGCTAAAAATTGCTTTAAAGGACTGCATGGATGCATTTGTTGAAAAATGAACATTTCTAAAGAATCTCTTGCCAAATTAATGATATTAGGTATTCAAATATCAGGTAATAAAATGATTGTTAGGTAGCCATTGTTTGGCATTGAAAAAAAATTAATGTCTTTTCATTTCAATACTTTAATAGACTTGATGTGGGATATCTATTCAATGACTTATGATCATGAATTAAAATTCTATTTTTTTAATAAATTAAGATCATTCAAACTCCCAACATCGTTAGCTGATTTAGATTCTCCTCTTCCCTGCTTTATGGAAAATATACTGGCTCTTAGGGTTGGTTTTTATTAATGATGTAAATCTTGGCATTGCAATGAGTCTTTATTATTAATATTAATTGATTGATTGATTGTATATGCTAGCATACAATGCTTTATATTTCTGATATTTTAAAAAAAATAATGAAAGAAAAGAATCCAGAACACCATCACCACCTCTTCACCAATTTAAATAACACCAGATACACCAATCATTAAAAAAGTCAAAGAAAATGTTTTTTTGAATCTTTTTCAAGATTTGTATTGAAAAGTTCTAGAATTTGACTATAGATTTATAAAAAATTTAATAAATGGATATAGCAACACTCCTGGGACTATAGTAAATTTTATTCTAATATGTTTATATCATAAAAGAACCAAAAAGATTTGTGTTATTATAAACAGCAATCATTATATCCAGAGTTACTTGTATTTTATAATTAAATAAAATATTATTGCTATTAGACTTAAAAAAACTGTTAGTATGTATATACAGTACCTGGAAGAAAGTATCCGAATGCAGTTTTTCGAAAATTCCGCAAAATATTACATAATAAAAAAATAAATAAAAAATGTCATTTTGTAGCTTAG